ATAAGACTGTAAAGCTGATGTTTAGTTAATTCACAGTCCACTTAGTGATCCTAAAAATGAAGATCAAGAAAAGTTTGGCCTTACAAGTTTGACTAATGTTGAATAATTTGCATTTACCATCATTTACAGTTCATTCATCAGATTTAAATAATGTGGGCAGACAAGTTTCTCCATTTCTGATTCATCTCAAATGCCTCTTTAGCAGCATCTGCATAAAACCAAGTTTGCAAAAATGCAAATCTGCAGACAGTCGCACAGTAAAGAAGTGAGAAAAAGATGTGAGTAAGCTATGTTTTCAGAAAATGATGTGCAAATTTAACATTTTCTGATGAATGCAACGTGTCATGTAAAGGAGCATGATCAGCTTTACAATCATGCACTGTTTGCAGCGTTATGCAACTCTATAAGTCTGCAAATATTTCAAGCATCCACATAAACTCGGCAAACTATCCAAATTCACAAGTCATCTCTGCAGACAGCTGCTTAAATGTGACAGCGATCATCACAAACCCCGGATGCTAATTATTGCTTTAATCCTCATGTCAGGCCTGGGAAGGTTTTTTTCCGGGTGATTAGCATACTGCAGGTAAAAAATATTTTGGATCCCCTGGACAGCCGCGGAGCCACCTAATTACAATCAGCACAGTCAGATGGCTTCATGTTTGAGAAAGTATCAATCTTCATTGCGGTGGCAAGTTTCCACAACAGAGCCAGATGCTTCCTCCAGGCGCCACGAGCAGCAACTGGAAAATGTAAACAACACATCACTTGTCTGATGCTGGTCGTCTCTGGGCCTCCTGGTGGGGAACTGTGCTCAGATATGCTCTGCAGAACACACTAAGTGGAAAAAACAGGGTGGGGAAAGCATGAGATACGACTGCATCAGAAAATAAACTTTTGAGTGTTTAAATATCACTGATTTATTATTTCTGAGATGCGTAATGCGACCTCAAGACTCCCGAATAAGACCTAAATGATTTAATTTGCTTTATCTTAATTCATTATCGATTTCTGCCCAAGGTGTCCCCTTGATCTTAAAGCAGAGATACTATCAGTTTATTTGCCTTGATGAGCTTTTTTTTCTTTTCTTTTTTTTCCCTCCAAACATCCTCCGATTGTCATTCCTGCCTCACCGGCAACCTCGGATGAACTTTATAACAGATGGCAGCGCCAAAGAACCTTGGCGATTATTTGAAGATCACTCTTTCATGCCTCAAGGGAATCAGCGAGGCTGCCACTAATCAAGGCGTAACTGCTCTCTACATAATTCAAAAGTCTTTTTATAATTTGTCACATCCAAGATGGTCGGGCAATATATCTTTGCCCGAGTGAAATATGCGTTTTATTAATATGCCATTAATGAAAAATTGGAGCTATTGGAGCTATGCTGTCCCTCTGCTTTTCCTGGGATGATCCGGAGATGACGATTACCAATCAGATCTTACATGTGGAAAATTGCGGGAATATTTTTCGGCCTGACCTTCGAATTTTTTATGATGGTTCGTTAATGCTAATATGATATCCCGCCACGCCACTTAGAAAATAGCTGCTTCCAACTATTATATAGCTTTAATATTTTCCAATGGTGCCTCCAAAGGTCACAAAATAAATCTGTAAGTCTGCCACAGATGATTTTTTTCTGCAGAATAAATACTTTTGCTCATTTGTCCCTGAGTAGGATTTGACTCACGACGGAGGATCTGGATTCTTCTTCCACCACTGCTCAGCTACTCTAAACTCGTACAAATGCAGAAAACATCAGATCGGAACTGTCTGCTGCTGTTGACACCACCGCTAAGCAAGAAGCGATGCTAATCCATCTCTTGAGTACTCGGCAGCACAAACCACACAGTGTCTCTCTTACACGAGCTCTCCCCCAACAGCAACGTCAAGCTGCGAGTGGGACTCCGGTTCAGCTGTCGGCTGGGGAGGAGACAGAACGGAAGTAGCTGGAAGAAGAAGACGGAGGAGAAGCAAACACTTCTCTCATTATCCTTTCTTCTCATGGCAGCTTTACCTGCCCTGGGAGTCAGCTGTCAATCACTACCTGGGGCATCAAGTCAGCGGGAGCCCAGAATGTACGGCGCACTCATCAAATCTGCCAGCAGGCAGCCAGAAAACACCTACAGAGCCAAAAGCCACTGCCAGTCGCAATTAAAGTGCTGCACCACTGTGGAGAAAGGAACCCGAGGCCACCTGAAGGTCAGCGGAAAACCCAATTACCAGCTTGTCATATATTGTCACGAAGAGTAATTCTTGGAAACAAAACAGTCCCCGACTCACCTTTGCGGCGGCTGCATGGACCCGAAACACGAGACGGCGCGTGTCACTGCGAGAATAAAAACTTTCAATTAGGTAAATCAAACTTTTCTTTTATTACTGCTGGGACAAACTAGAAAATGGGGCGAAAAAAAAAAAAGCTCCAGATTAAAGGTAGGCACAGCTCAGACCATGCAGTTTCATGTACACAGCTCTCAAATGGAATAAAGGCATTGGATTAACAGTTATAAAAATAGAACATTTACAAAAACATATCTACAAAGACAGTTCAGTGGCAGTAATGAGGCCAGTTTTTCAATATTTTTTTTTTTTAAAGGCTGTTTTGGGCAAAAAAAAATGTACAATCAAAAAAAAAAAGACATTTCACAGTTTAAAGGTGTGAGAATAATATTACGGGGCTGGAAACTGTTGCTACACAGTAGTTTCATGTTTCCACAAGCCGGTCTTTATGCTGGCTGTACTGTCTGTGCTGAGTAAAGGCACTGCTTGGCCGTTTTCTTTAAGCGTGCTACCATTCTGGGTGACGAGGTTCAGCCCGTATGACTTCGGCTGGCTTTCTAGTTCTGTGCTGCCGGGCTGCTTCACGGGACCAGAGTCTTTACTTGAGCTCGACCCTGCGGCGGTAGCAATGGGCTCGGTCTCTACAGTCACCACCGTCCCGTTCCCCAGCGAGCCGCCGCCGCCTCCTTTGTCCGAGTATCGGGAGCGCCGGGGCAGGCTGGCGCTGTCGCTGCTGTCCTGCTGCATCTGGCTCTGATGCCGCTCTCTGTAGGCCATGTAGGCCGCACGTCGGCTATTGCGAGCCGCCATGTCGTAATGGTGGTGTCGCCTGTGGGGGGCGCTCTGCACGCTGCCGTCCACGCTGGTCGGCACGTCGTAGGCGTATTCCCGCAACACGGTCAGCCGACTCGCTCGGTGTGCCCGCGCTCTGTTTTTGTGATGCCTGCTGGCGTGTCCGTTTGGGGCGGCTGCAGGGTTACTGATGTTGCTCACGGGGCGGAACTGCACCTCGACGGGCGCCACGTGCATTTTAATTTCATTGTCTAGCGAGTGCTCGGTCAGGCTGTTGTCCAATATGGCCGTTCCGTTGGCCGTCACCGGCGCTGAGGCGGACTTACACTGAGCTGCCTCGGCGTGCAGGTTGGTCAGCTTGCTGCCGTGCGTGGAGTTACGCACGCTCGGGGCACTTTTGTTGGTGTAGGAAGAGTCGGCGCTGCTGTGGCCGCACTTTGCCGACTCCCCATCCGCCTTGCTATCAGATCCGGCTGTGGATGTCATCGCCACGCCTGGCTGAGGCAGGAGGACGTCCTCCTGCGCGGAGTACGCTCGTCTGCCGGAGCAACAAGCCTGCGACCAGTAGCGCCTCATGTCTTGTCTGTTGACGCAGTGATGTGCCACCATGAACGCCCCGAGCGCCAGCGCCGTCACCCCAAACAGGCAGGTGAACGCCAAGTCAAAAGGGTGTTCCTGCGACACGGCCATGGCGCCAAACACCCACAAGGCCGCGTACAGGCCCAACGCCCCCGCGGCTCCCATCAGCTGGGCGGCGAAGGTGTGCTCGTTCTCCAGGGCGGACAGGGGCACAGCGTGGGGGGCGGAGACGATGGAGGAGGATGCCTCGTGGGGCTGGAGCTGCAGGGCGAGGGGGTGGCAGAGGCCGCCGGGAGGGTCCGGCCTGGCCTCGCTGTTGGCCAGATGTTGCTGCTCCTCCGCCGACTCCTTGAGCTCGTAGCGGCGCTCGGGGTGTCGGCGCAGCTGGAGCAGGATGCTGAGGAAGTACATGCAGTCCACGAAGATGATGAATCCCACCGGGCCATAAAAGGCGCCGATACTCGGCTCCCACGCCATCCAGCAACTGGAAGGTGAAGAGACACACAAGACTAGTTAGATTTTTGATATGAAGTAAGACACTGGATGTGGCTTTCAAGATTCTTGGGGTCATCTAAGTCCAGGTGAAGGGCTGCTGCCTTTCATTGGGTCAGATCAACCATGCAATACACCAGTTACCCACCAGGACCCATGTAGCTATACTCATTATTATCATCAACTCTGGTTTTTGTGTGCTCTATCATTTTTTGCATCCTTTAGTCTCATAACATTCAGTTTTATTGTAAATACCACCAATTTGCACCTCATAATTCTATACGATTTTTGCACATTTCTGCAAATACCAGCATTTTTAGGCACCTTATGGCCGGTTATCTATCTATCTATCTATCTATCTATCTATCTATCTATCTATCTATCTATCTATCTATCTATCTATCTATCTCGTGCAGCACCTCCTTGGACCGAAACCATCCACCGTGCTCATTAAAACAATACCTCATCTCCCCCATCTCGCTCCGTCACGATCGTTATTTACTCCACAAACTTGAAATTACTTACGGAAAAAACTTCCGCGTCTCATTTTTACAGCTACTGTCCCATTACATTTAATAACACAGGCGGAATTTGTCTTGCTTGCAAGAAATTAATTAAACTCCAAAGACTCCAAAGACAGATACGGGTCCAGATTTCTCAATTAGTCAGCCGCGCTGCACAATCTAAACAGCTGCCACTGTAGAGAGAGGACGGTGGGGTGGGGTGGGGGGGAGCTCGCTGTAAACTGGCAGCACTTGCTTGTTGCTTGGATGCACATATCATTAATAGGCCTCCATAATCAGAACTTTAGGGAATAAACTTTTCCTACCGTCGTAAAAATATCCATTATTTACTAAAGCAGCGCAGTCTCGCCGGTCAATAACTAAGCCAGTTCCTCCTGAGGACGCAATGTAAAAGATCTTCTTCCTTATTAAACGCTGCTGTCCACATAAAAAGGGACACTATCTGTATGGATATAAAGCGAGGAATAGTAACTTTAATTGCTGCCTATAAAGGGCATACTTACTATGGTGCATTGGTCTGGTTGCCGTAGTTTTTGATGTTAGCTGCTGCAGTGATACCACAGACGATGATGGGTATCCCTCCGCCGATTAAATAGAACCTTTTGGGGAGAAAAAAAAAGATAAACAGCAGTTTTGTCTCGTTGCTTTTTTGCATGACAAGTGGGTATGAAGTGGACACAGAGGTCCAATGATGCTGCAGGCCTCTACACTGACACCATGTGGCAGCTTTACTAACAAACATGACATGAGAAACGTCTATGCATATCGAGATGTTATGCAAAAATACTTCATTTCACAACACAGAACAGCTTGTTTAGCACTAGATGCATCATATGTGGTCAAATGCACCCACGTTTTCTGACTAAGACTCAACAAAAACATCAAACTATTTGCTTTGACAGTTAAAAACTCAGTTGTAGTTAGTTTGAGAGAAGCTGATATAAGTGTACAAGAAACAGATGGTACAATACAAGCTAAAATCTGCTTGTTTACTGATTGTACATGATGCAGCAACGACAGCAGCCGTTCAGAGATGCTACCTCCGACCAAAACAAGAAAGGTGGAATCGAACCTGAGCATGGGCCGCGGCGGTGGCGGCGGCTCGTCCAGCTCTTCGTAGCGCTTGGCCTTGCGCGTCACCTGTTTGTAGATGTTGCGTGCGGTCACGCCGACCCACAGAGCCGTCGCCAGGGTCGAATAGTGGAGTAAAATGCCCACCTGGAAGATTATATGACGTTATACGGCTTCAGTAAAGCGACAAACGGCTGCATGTGTCGGTACAATAACACGCTCCTGTTGGTTATACTGTTGCACCGATAAAAAATAAAAATAAAACTGACTGAATGCCGGACACGCAGGGTATTTCAATTAGCCTTATGAACTCAGCAATTCAGGCTAAACTGTAAAATTAGCTTACGAGATGCACTAAAAAGTGTTCCTGTGTATGTTAATGGGACGGACGAAATATGAGGGAGACTAAATGTAATGTTGTCAGCTAAATAATAAACATAAAGTTGAATTATCACCTTTTTGGAAGCAACGAAACAAACGTAGAATTTATCGCATAGCTGTTGAGTTAAGACTTCACCGATGTACCTAATAAAGTGAATGTCAAACCAGAGGGGACTTAATAAATAAACAATAACTTTTCTGCCAAAACTTTTCATCCAGATACTTGCCACATATGGTGCAATGAAAACTGAATAAGTTATGTCTCAGTGCAGCACACCAGGAGGAGAGGTGCAGGATCGCCTCCAGCCATGGAAACAATCTACTGCATCTTTCTATGTATATTTTACTGTTTCCCCCCAGTTTTAGGAGAGCAGTGAACTTAGCCAAAGGCAACTTTTTTTTTTTTCCCTTCACAGAAAACATCGGAAGAAAGTTTGGAGAGATGTTGGTGGGAGAGAGTACACAGCAGGGGGCGGTTTTAAAGTGTGCGGGCGACGTATACTCACCGCCTGGCAGACGCTCGAATGTCGCGTCTGATTGATGCCGCCCACGAAAACCCCGCAGGTGAGGGAGATGTGGAAGCACAGGTTGACCAACATGTGCCAAAACTTCCGGCTCACACGGACAGACCTGTTGTCAGACGGACGGCAGATCACGGAATTAAAGCGGAAACAAAAGGCTGCTGTGGAGGCATTTCACACTGAAGCTGAAAGTGGACTAAATGTTTGTGAAACACCGACAACATTTTTGAACATCAGAAAACTTCTACGATGACAATACTATCACTTGAATACAAAAGCCTAACTGTAGATCAAGAAATCACATTTCACATTTGCAACGCCAACATCTTCTTAAACAACCCTTCATATATTGGTAAGCAGTCACCTCATTAATTAGACTTAGAATTCCAATATTCTTATACTTTCTAACACCACTTTGTTCATACTTTCTCCCAGTTTGCTTTCAGACAAAAAAATGGGAGATTATTTGTTGTAATAATTGTAAAAATAGTAATTAAATCTGCGAAAATCACAATATTAATCACAAAACAAACATAAAAAAGGGGAGATTGTGGTCTACTAGGCAGAAACTAACCCGTGATTGGTGCATAAAAGCACAAATAAACTGGCATGGAAGTAAACATAAGTGACTAGCTTGGGGTTATCGCATCAGACATTTGAGATTTTTATGATTATTGGTAGCATTATTTTTTAAAAACTGATTATCATTTCTGATTTAACAGGTGAAAAACACATCATTTTAAGGCTATTCTCTTACCTGTGATGGTAGATGTAACTGATAATAATGGTGAGCAGGCACAGGAGGAGGATGATAGTTGTGGCGTAGATGACCGGGTGCAGGGGCTGGATGCTCGGAGAGAAGAACTCCACACTGCTGAGGTCCTGCAAGAGAGATGAAGATGTTCAATCAACCCAAGAACTGCAACGCAAAGTGCTACATGCATCTCCTGCAGTACATTTTCCAGGTTGTGGTTCTCTCATGGGCCTTCAGTTGATGTGGCAATACTACCAGATGGCCACTAGAGGGCCAATCAGCTACATGGTGTCAACATCTGTGCATGACTCTTAAAAAAAAAAGGGCTTTACATTTCGAAAAATCTTAAAAATTCAGGTTAAGTGATGTGGTTCAGTGGAAGAACATCCCACAAGGCCACTGTGTGACCGACCTACCATAAGCAGGCCGTAGTTGCCCAGAGAGTTGCAGGATATGGTGGTGAAGTTGTCATGATGGTCCAGGATGCGGCAGCCGTCGCTCTGCCACCCTCCCTGACCTCCGGCCACGCTGAAGTTCCAGCAGGCCGACACGGCGTCTGAACCGCGGGCGAAGCGCCGCAGGGTGATGTTCACGGGGTTCCTCAAGGCCCGCAGAGACATGCCATCTGAAGGAAGGAAACAACAAATCAGCTTTGTGTGTCCTAACTGATTCTGGCTGCTCCTCTCACATCTGTCTTCACTCATTTACAAACAACATGATTTATGAGTATAACAAATTACAGCTCACCTATCTTAGCCATGATGACGGGGGTGGCCACACTCCTCCGCTTCCCTCCATCGGCCAGTTGAGACGAGTTGCCGGTGGAGGGAAAAAACTTGCCGTTGCGGAAGCCCAGTAGGTGGAGCTTGTAGACCGTGTCGACGTCGGCCTGCCCGGGGAGCGCCGCCTCGCTCAAGAGAGACTGAGGAAGTTGCAGGGAAGCCTCCACGATGGTGCTCTGTGAGGACAAAACACAAAGCAACGTCTTAAAGTGCTTAGAATGATGAAGTGACCCACGGTTTGTTTAAAAGCTGCAATCATCATAATGAAAGCTAATGAAACAGAGCAAATTGAAAGCGTTTCCTGGCAGGAGCCGACCTTGTGAAGGATGCTGGAGAAGGAGCTGGTGGTGTTGCATTTGAATGTGAACTGGCGGTCCTGGCCGGGCGTGCGCTCGGGGCTGGCCCTCAGGTACAGCATGCAGGTCATGCCGTTCCAGTCGCTGGCCCTGACAGTGTGGGCCTCCAGTGCAATGTTGGGGGACGTCTGGGAGGGCGACGGCAAGAAAGAACTGAGATCTAACGCTCTGTTCAACTAAACTTGTAGTGCAATGTGAGACAGTGCCGTCGATGTGGCTCACCAGGGAGAAGGCCTGCGCCGTGGCCAGACGGTGGACGGCGATCCTCTGGAGGCAGGCGATGATGCGGGAGCAGGCCATCGCCTCACGCTGAGCCATCCCCAGGACCCTCTCGTCGGCCAGCATCAAGTTACTGGCCATGCTAACCATCACCTCCCCTAGCTGGGAAGATAAGATGAAAAAAATGCAGGAAGACTTTTTATTCATCACTTCAGCAGCAGCTCAACTTTAAATTACTTGAGTGGAAACATAAGAAACGTGCTCAGCCAGCAACTTGTTTGTATCAAACAGCACTAAACACATGCTTCGGGGAGGTGCTCGACACGGCTCTTGAAGTGGCTGAGAGACTATTGGAACCACATTTCGAGAACGCGTTGCACTACTAAACTTTAATATGCTTTTAAACACTGGTGTTACTCGCCTGCAGCTCTCGCGACGCGGCAGCAGCGCCTGAACTTTTCCTTTTTTTTTTTTGTCGGCCTGCCGCTGAGTCGTGACAAGACATTCTTTCTAATTAAACTACACGACAACAAACAGCTGCTGGGAATTAATCCATTCGTCCTTGCTCCTGGTTGGTAAACAAATGGAGCACTCACTTCTTTGAACCTCTCCACGAACTTGCCGAACTTCTCGATCATCTCGGCCACAAAGATGATGTCCATCTTGTCCGAGAAGTTGGCGGCGTCGATCGTGTAGAAGAACAGGCGTCGAGCTCGAGTCACCACGTTGGTCTCGTTTAAAGGAATCTAGGAGAAAAAAATTGGGTTTGAATGGTCAGATATGATTTGAGGATATGACGAGTGAATGTATTTCTGGTGGAAAACGGTAAGAAAAGGTTGCTGCCCGACCAACTAGATACAAACCTGGTTGATGACGTGGAGAAATCTCGTGACATCTTTCTGAAACTCGCAGCGGGTGTAGTCGTCCTCCGCCCAAAGGCCCTCACGATTGCAGTAGCGCCACGCCCGCTGCTCTTCGCCGGAGCTGCCTGAATATGCTCCTGCGCTGGATGGCAATCTGTTGCAGGGGAGGTAGGCTCTGATTCCTGCAAGGGTGCGTGGCCACCTGGAGGGATTCAAACAAGTCGTCTTTACTTCCTCCAAACTTTGAGACATAATGTGTTTGACATCCAGAGTCGAGACTGAAAATCTAAGGGTGACCGAGGGTTTTCGATCAGAGCCACTCAGCTTCGGATCGACCTGTCTGGGGAGATAAGGCTTGCTGAATCAGTATCTTCTCTTAAATCAGCTATTTTTTTGTATTTCTTATGGCACTTAAAAAAAAAAAGTTCTGCTTTTATGTGATGTCGTCTATTTCCATTTTATTTTTAATGTTTTTTTTAGTATTGTTATATATCTATTATCATCTGTATTATTATTATTTTATAGTTAATATTATTTTTATTGTATAATTGATTATTTTAAACATTTTTTTTATTTTATTGTTAATTTTCTTTTCTTTCAGACTTTATTTATTTACATATTTATTTTTTCAATTTACTATTTCTACTATTATTTTTTTTCAGCCTTGTGTATAAGGTTTAACCATCTATTTTATTTTTATTCCACTTGTTCTTTCCCTTACTTTGATGCGATCTTTTATTTTTCTATCTGGTGATGTTGTGTTAATTTATTTTGAAAATCTTTGACTCTATTTAATTTTATTTCTCCATTTTTTTTCCTCCTTCTGTTTGGACTGACCAGCCTTCTTTTCAATGTTCTTCCTGAGTATCCTTCCTTGGAAACTCTGTTTTTAAAAAGGTGCTATATAAATAAAGTTATTTTTATTTTTAGATATTAGAAGCAACAGAGGAATTTAATCATGGAGTGGGACGCTGCTGTGCAATTCTCATATTCACCCACAAGGGGGTGCTGCTTGCACAACAACGCCGCTGCACCAGCACAGCAATAAAACATTTTATGACACATCTTTCAATTGTGATTCTTATTTTGAGCATTAACCTGCAATTTGGCAAATTACATACATTAAGCAGACAGATATCAAACCAGAACCGCTCTGAAATTAAATGGTCAGAACCTTTTGAAAATACAAGTTATTTTTTGTTTCATTTCAAGTGACAGAGTTGCATTTAATTCTGGTTTTGTGTCGGGTTTTATAGCTACCTGAACTCTCCCTTGTTGTTGGAGACACGTTCAGGGGCGCAGTACTTGGCGGAGCTTTGCAACACCACGATGTGGACCGTCCTGGTGGTGTTGCCCCTGCTCGTCCTCACCCGACACTCCCAGTTCCCCGTGAAACCAGGCTGGATGTTCGAGATGGTCAACGCGCTGATGGAGCACACGGAGGAGAACATTTATCTACCGTGCTTTCCTCTTAAACTTGCAAACATGTAAAGCGAACGTTTGCGATGATACCTCGCGATCAGGGAGCAGTTCTGCACGACGCGCTTTTCGATGAAGATGCCCTGGGTGGCATCTGGCTTGACCATGCGTCCGTTCTGGTACCACAGCACCTGCATATCCTCGGCCACGAGGGAAGCCTGACACTGGAATGGCAGGCTGTCCCCCTGGAAGACAACCTGACGCTGGGACGGAGTCAGCTGGAAGGAGGGCAGCTCAAGTGGAGCATCTGAGGAAAACCAGGGATCCAGGCAGGTGGTCATTTTTCACCCAAAAAAAAAAGTAGCTGTCACAAACTCTGCCACACAAAGAAGCTAAAACAGCGTCTGGATTTCCGGTTGCTTTAGTGCCATTTGTCATTCACGTCAGGCGGCTGGCTCAGGCTAAATCTATGCCATGTATTTCATAATCCCTCACTGAGATGAGTGCCAAACTGATAAGACATGAGCAAGTACAAACAAAGGCCGCACTGGCCTGGGCAGCCCTTGTCTTATCTCCCGTGTCATTGCACAAGCCCCTGTTCCCCAAATACCAGCCGCACTGATACCAAAACAGAGAAATTAAAGAGACAGCGCACCATTCTGACGGCACGATCCCTGCCACTACTCACAATGACTTATTTCAGCATTTCGAGATGTCTGAGAGTGGACAACCGGCAGATCAGATAGCGTCACTGAACTGATGAATAACTCTGAGTGTTTAGCTGCTATTTTAAGGTCTCTGCTGCGTCGTATCTATCTGCCGGAAGGTGTTTGTGTCCCTACCGCAGGTGAGCAGCTCCGGCCTGATGAAGGGGATGAGCTGACCCTGGAGGGACTGGGGGTAGGAGCACTTGGTGTTCTTCACGGCGATGTTCCTGTCTTTGATCCAACGCAGCAGCCACAGAAGGTTGCAGTCACACAGCAGGTAAGGCGTCTGAAACTCCCTGGAGAAGACAGAAACGTGCACATCAGGCGGTTTTAGTGACAAACAGCCACATTCCTGATGGAAAACTCTACTTTCTTTCTGCCACATTTTAAGTTTTAAACACTGTTTTGATTGCATTAATAGATAAAGACTTGATTTTAGTTTCTCAAACTTACAAAGCCTTCAGAGACACCAAGTTGTCGAAAGTCCCCTGAGCCAAGGAAGAGAACATGTTCCCTGAAAGGTTTCTGTAACAAAAAAAAAAAAAAAGAGAGAAGAAATCCTTTATTTTATTTCCGTCTGTTACAAAGTGACGCTTGTATTACAGTCATATCAGCACAAATTACTCACAGCCGGATCAGACTGGCGAGGCCCTTGAAGATGTCAACGTTCAGACAGCCGATGCTGTTGTTGGACAGGTCTCTGCGGCAAACACACAAAACACGTGTCAGAGTCTTCATTATGTCTGGGAATGTCTTAAAACAAGATAAACCATGAAAACTTGATTGTATCATGATAAAAAAAAAATGAATGGAGAAAGATTGCTAAGCTTAAAGGAAAAAAAAGAGTTAAAAGAAAAAAAACGCCAAGTTTAACTGAGGCAGGTTGAGGCAGAGACTTCAAAAATTCAGCTGACAGGTTTACAACTTTCAAGGTGATTTCAGATAATGTCTGTGTGGGCCTGCAGGGGAAGCCGCACATCAAAGGCAGGCGAACACTGTGGGAGGTGATTAATCACCTATGATTAATATCAAACGCGTCAAAAGTGTGTGTTTCTTCTCTGGATGTGACCCGACATGATGTCTCTGGCAAACATCAGACACAAGCGTCCGAGACTCCAGACGCCTTTCAGAAGGAATCGCAGACGATTTCCAGCGCTTAACACGGAAAAGACGGATGCTGCCAGTGTGAATTACACCTCACGCAGTTTTAGAAACGCCTGCAGAGGTGAAATACTCGCCGGATAGCAGGAAAAACGCAGAGATTTATGTCACACGAGGTAACACAGACGTCGACCTCCGGAGGCCCGTTCTGAAGCATGAAAAACAGGAATGACTGTGCAGAACGTGTCGATTGCACAAACGGGTTTTTGTTTAATTATTATTATTAAAAACTTGATAAGATAAGAAGTAAGGAGGAAATCGTTGCTGCTAAACATATCAGAGGTTTAGTTTTTCTGACCTCTAAAATCTGTGGAAGTTCTGGAGCTGCAGTTCTGGAGGAAGAATCCTTCATCTGCACTACTGGCTGTGTACAAATACTGGATTTTTTTAATGCGTGCACACTAAATGGACACTGTCTGACAGTAATACCACCAAATATCCTCTAGCAGGGTCTTTATATCTCAAATCAGCAACTTTTTAGAGCAATTTCTGGTCCACAACAACAATTTCTTAGCAACTATTAAAGATAAAAGCCTGAAATTTTCACATTTTTTTCTCGTCATGTCTTAGATTCAGAATCTGCAATACTGGACAAGTAGATCAAATGATCTCTGGTTGTGGATTAGTAGAAATATGAACAAAAAAGTGAAGCATTCGTGAGCATACATGACTAAAACAATGCATAAATCGAGTAGTGAGACTCTTAAGCGCATTCAGTTGCATCTCGAAATAATTAAAATAAAAACACATACAAGAGACACCATTTTAAAATTTTCTAGAGTTTAGTGCAAAAAAATCAAATCAGAGGCCATCAAGCAGAAGGCCGCTGATGGTTTGAGATGAAATAACCCAGCAAGGAAGGTTTTTTCTTATTTAAGATCAGCAAACTAACCTGCACAATACATCCAATAAGAAATGAAACATGACAATACATGTGGCCCCATTATTACTTTTATTATTATGACTTTTTTTGAAGGAATGCTTCATATTCGGCTTCCTAATTACCAATTTAAACAAATCAATACTGGTTCAACTACTCTCAACTCTCAACTTTGTGTGTTTTTGGCCTCCTGGCAAATTTACGCCCAACATTTTTCCTCATTTTAGCTCCGTTTTGGTCTCCACCAACTCATGAAGGGAACATGTGACCCTGAGCTGTTCGCTATGTTCATTAGCTGTATGCTGGTGTTATCTATCTCTTTTTTTTTTGTGCTGAAAACAGTTGCGTTTGGACACAACACTGATGAGAGAGTTGAGACAGAATCACTAAATTGAAGCTGGAAAATCGAAACAATGCATGACGGGGCACTAAAATACGACAGCACGAAGCGAAGAGGAACTATACGTCCTCCTGTGTCTTCGCAAGTTTAAATGTCATCATCTGATTCACTGATGACATCAAAACATTGATCAGTTTAGCGTCACAATACCCACATGCTAAATGCTAAATGTTAAACGGAATTATTATCACACAATGATCACATTTCAAAGTCAGCAAGAACATAATTAAACACCCGGAGAGATAACGTTTGAAGCAACCGGTCCCGAGAACCGAAAACTTTCAAAGTGGCAGCACCTTGATAATAGCTGTAACACATACAGTATTCCTCTGCGGATGATCCCATCACTGCAAAAGAAACGCTAAGAAAAGAAACAAGAGCCTGGGAGGGGGAAAAAAGACACATCATTACCTCAACCCAGCAGCTAAACTGTATCCTGGAGTGCTCGAGGAATGTGATACCAGCACAAAGTGATACCTGGAAAATGACTGGCAGGCATATGCTAACATCCCGGCATTTATGTAATTATTGGTGTTGGTCCTTAAGGTACCAGCTGGGGAATTTTACTGTGTGAGGTTATTAGTTCCACTTGGAGGAGAAGAAAAAGCCTCCTTTTGCAGGCTTTGCCAATTTGCGCGAGCATTGTGTGTCATGGGAAGGATAACAGAGTCGAAGTGAACGGGGCGGAGGAGAGGGGGGCTCGGCTCGCTGGAGGCACACTTTCATCTCGTTTCATCGCCTCGATTCAAATACAAGAGCTGGGGGACGAGATGGCGAATGTTGTTATTACTTTCAGCCACTTTGTTAGGAACCTTTATGACTTGAAATCATTAATTTTTACAAAATGCAAAATCAAATCACGTGTCACTTTTTCTTCTCCGGTCTCGGTCGTCGCGCCGCCGGCGTGAAGCAAATTAACAGCACAGAGGAGTGTTTCAGCGCATCGGTTGCTGTCGATGATACAAGGAGCAGAAGCAAAAATAGCCCGACGTGATTAGGTTCGAGCGGAGACTGTTCAGCTGTTGGAGGAATGTGGAGTAGAAAAAAAAGCCGAGGCCGGAGGAATCTGGTGGGTTTGAAAGTGTTGTGCAGCGAGAGAGAGAGAGAAGGGCTGTTTAAATGTACATCTCCAACTGTGAGTGTGGACTGTGTGTAAAGTGAGGTAAGCTTATCTGAGCCCCCGAGAGTGTTAGCAAGCTCAAGAAACCCAGACGAGATCTCTTTTAGATCAAAAGTCAGTCCTGTTGTGCGGGTGTAAGTGGAGAGTTTTTCACATGGACGCCTTATCGTCACTGGATCTGATTCTAACCGCTGACTGTATACAAAGATGGACGAACTGTTAGCGGCGTCACCCATAGGTTTCCTGAAGAGCGGATCTGAAGCTCAATATGGCAGCTCCGGCTGTCGCCATTTGTGGTCTTGGCCAAACTCCCAGCTTATCCAAAAATGAGTGGAGCTGAGGCGTGCCATGGCGCTGTTAGGAATGTCACCACCAAGTTTTTTTGGCCCCCAATTCTATCCGAGTCATATAAGACTTCGAATCCGCCGATAACGAGTCCCGATCGGAAACCATTTTCCTAAACAACATACGCTTGGTTGTTGGAGATTAGCTGCAGTCCTTGTTGCTGTTTAATACTGTAGCAACCTGAGAAGATGGTCACTTGGACTACAGGCAGAGATGCATTGTCCGGGTTTAGCTAGCAACGGGCACCATGACAACGACTTCTGTGATGCTCATGTGTTTAAGACGAGCCACCATCAACTAAGACAGCGTCCTAAATCGACTCCTTTACATCCCAAATCATGTGTCTATTGACTAAAACAGCAATCTCAACACACAAACTGTGCTCCCTCATTACGACACCTGTGTGACGTTGGACATAGAGAAAGGACAGGGCTGAAACCGGTTAAATAATTCCTTTATCAACCCCAATCTTCGAGAGATAACAATTTACACTTGTCATAAATGGAAAACGTGTCAACAGAGATAAAAACTGATTTTTATATCAGGCTGTAAACGACAGATAAAGTTGGACAGTTCAGCACAGAGGACCACTGAGACCGACTGGCTGTTGGAGTCAGCCCCAAGTGGTCATTTGAGGAACTGCACTTCTGTGTTGACTTGATTTTAACTTAACACTGAAAAGTTTGTGTTTTTTTAATCAATCCAGTGAACAAAAAAAATCAATTTTACACATTCAGTTTGCACATGAAGGTGTATAATGTCCTCTGAGGCTTTCGAGAGAGCTTTGAGAAGCCTGAAAAAGAAACCCTGATGATGTTTTCAGGGTTTCTCTGAGTGATCCCAGTCTGGGAAACCTGGATCTAATGTGGAGTTTATTGAACACTAAGGAATGGAAATCAGGATCTCTCCACCTGTGCTGCGTTTTACTGTTTTAACACAGTGTGGATGAAGGTTTTAAGAAACCCTGATGCAAATGCAAAACACTTTAAAGCCTCTAATTCTGCATGCGAGCGCACGACTCTCGCTTCAAGTGAGGAATCTGTTTTACAAACTCGCTCCTCACCTCTTGTTTTAACGCGAGAGCTGTTTTTAACGCAACAAGACTGAAGCCTGATGATCTAAACCTGTGCAGCCTTCACTTTAAACGCTCCTGTCGCTGCACTGTGACAACAAGATAAATAGGCCTTCCAAATGGCACATCTTGAAATGAGAAAAACTCTAATTAGGCAATACTGAGTGGGGAGGTAGAGACAGATGGGGCGAAGTAGACTGGCTGGAGTAGAGTCAGCGATAAGGGGGAGCGCATTGTGTGCCAAATTCCATAACTTCTCCAGGTTTTTCATGACTGTACGCACCCTGGCAAAAGTTATGACACAGGAATGCGGCATAAAAGCTGGTAAAATATAGTTTATATATATTCCTTACTGCCAATTAACTCCCCTCCCTTTTTCCAAAAAGTGGGGGGAAAAAAAAGCCGAGTGGATGTGTGCCTGCGGATGCCAACCCTTGATGTCGGGCTTCTGTGTTTACATTCCCAGGGTCTAGCACTACCTCATCATCTCCTCTGCTCTTCTTCTCTATTCTGCGCTCCTTCCCTTTTCACAGCTGAGTGAGTGACGACTACCCTTTGAAATTAACTCAGACTGGTGTTGGGGGCCAATTACACTTTGCTCGCCCGAGGCGAAATCAAAACCGAACCCCAGGACAAGCATGCAAGGCTTTGGGATCTCGGAGGCGATAAGCCTTTAGGAAAATTTGGTGTGCGATTTTAATATGCAGGAGACATATAGGCTGACATGGATCCATTTGAATGCGGCATGAATATGCATCAAGGAGGAGGGCTAAACGAGGCCGGGCCCGAGCCAAGGAACTGACTGCCTTCCTGTCTCCTTCTTATTGCTCCACAACAGCGGCCAAGTTCAAGTTTGCGTTGGCAGCCACTTGGTACTGTTGGATGATTCCAACTCATGCTGTGTTCTTGCTCGTTCTCATGCACACACACACACCTTCGCAACGGCACAACTACGCACCTACATCTGACCTCCCACACAAACCTGATAGATTTTAGCTTTGTGTGTATCAAAATTATCCTTGTGATAAACATCACACGTTTATACATCCTCCTCCTTTTTTTTTTTCCTCCAACCAGACTGTGTGAAAGCATATAAGGCCTCACGCTGTCTGCAGAGGTCTCTGGCACACGGCCAGGCAAAACAAGGCAGTAGAAATAGACTGCTGTTTGACCATGCTCCCTTATGGACACTGGATACACTCTCGATCTGTTGGAACACACGCAGCGCATTGCATTGATGGATATAAAACAGCTGCTCCAAACACAGTATAGAAAGCGGGGAAATTGGCCCCCAATAAAAAAAGAAAAGTGCTAATCTGAAATGCTAGTTTCATGTTTTTCAAAGCACTTCTGAAAACCCGCTTTAAATAGCTGATGACACAAAACACACACTGAACGAAAGCTATCTTCACGTGGAAAATAATTACAGTTGGAATTCAGATCTTTAAAAGAAGAAAAAAAAAAAGAGAGTACACCTGAGTGAAATCCCAGAGGGGCTAAACGCGTGAACGTCGAGGCGTACGCACACTTGCAGAAACCACATTAAAGAGACGCCGAAGCTGCAGAAGCTCCACCAGTATACTCACAGTCGCTTCAGCGCCGGCAAGCCGAGGAAAGCTCCCGGTTCAATACGACTGATCATGTTACTCCGCAGGTCCCTGTGGGAGGAAAAACAAGAAGAAGGGTGGAAAAAAGAGAGGAAGATTTTAGGCCATGAGCAATTTCAACTGCAGTAAAACAGTAGAAGAGGTTTGTTAATTGATGATTTCAGTCGTTTAAGTGAAAAGTTGAGTTTTTAGACAGAAAAAACATCATCATGGACAAAAAAAAAAAAGAAATGTGATGATTTTTTCACCATTTGCTCACAAATAACAGTTAATGTCGTTACATGTATTCAGTCAGAGTACAGCCTCAAGCGTTAACAGAACATATTTTTGCTATTTTTTCTTATTAAATAGCATTTAGGTGACTTTTTTTCTTTCTTTTCTTTTTTCTTAAAATCAACAGTTACTTGTAATTACAGGCTTGTGAAACAGGAGCAGATACGCATTCATATTATGCAAATCAATCTAAAGACCGCTGCAACCGCTGCAGGAATACGGTTCCTGCACACACCCAGACCTGGTCCACACTCACCCAATCACTACATTGCTGACAACCTGACTCCCTCCCTCCCTCCCTCCTTCCCTTCCCTGAAGTTCAAAGGCTTGCGGTCACAGAATTCCTGCAGCGCTCACCTGCGCAGGCACTGCCTAGTCACTCATTACAGCTGAGGGTTCACGAGGCTTTCCAGTCGCCACCTGAACCCGCACAAAAGGGCCTCTGGGTAACTCTGCCCGTTTGATGTCAGGCGACTGTCATCCGAAGGCGGGTAGGTGGTCATAGATGAGTCACAGACAGACAAAAAAAAAAAACCTGCTTGTTAAAACTTTTGATGTGAGCGAGGAGGAGCTGGATTCCCGGAGAAGGAGGTGTTGAGAGAAAAGTTAGAAGGCAGGACAAAGAAATCGTCATTACAGGACCCTCGTTGCTAGTGAGAGCCAGATTCGGAGCGGATTGGGTGAATAAACAGGCAGGTTGAGTCTAGCAGTATCTTTATTATCATGTCGGCTTTGAGGTGCAGAAGGACGCAAAAACAACCTGCAAGCTTCTCCTGCGTCAGAATGTAACAGACAAACTCCTCTCTTGTGACTTCAAGTTTTAATGAAGAAATGTTTGAAAGTTTCAATGTCAAGGTTTGAACCAATCCTAAACTGAATGATAAAGCTGAAAAAGAAAGAGGAGAAATCTACCACTACTACGACTACTACGAATGACAACAATCAGAACACTGTAGCTCTGTGATATTCCAATATTTGCGGGTAAAATATGGGGAGTCAGAGAGAAGCATGTTTAACCATCCATAACTGCACTTCAGATTCCAACGACCACACATGACCTGGCACCTTTTAAATCTATTTGCAGAAAGAGAGAGAGAAAATGCCAGTTTTTGATTTTTTTCTTTTCTCTCGACATGCTCAAATTGAAATAGCTGGCTGAATATTTCTCCGTGTGTTCCAGAGCTGTTCTTGAACCGGCTCCCAAAACCAAAAGGGCGGTTTTTCCAGCTGCTGCCATTTTTTTTTTTTTTTTAAGGGGGGCACTTCTACGGCCGTCCAATGGCGTCGTTCGTAGTAAAAAGTAAAGCACATGTCTTGTGGAGTAAAGATTCATTAAAGCGCTTTTTTTTTTTTTCCCCCAAGTTTGTTTTCTTGGCACGGTGGGTTCCACTTTGCACTGGATATGACAGGTTCCTGGCATTGGGTTGAGATTTCCACTGAGGAGAGAGGAGTCGATGGTGTTAATCAGGCTGCAAGCAGGATTGTAAAAAATGATCACTTTTGGTGTCCAGCATGAGCCAATCTTGAGCTGTTTTAGCCACATTATTTATCCATTAGATGACATTTTAGCTTTTATATACTGTAAAACCCTGCACCGGTTTGCTTTAAATCAAGACTATTTAACTTATAAAATCCAAATCTGCTTCTCACGTGTGAAATGATTGTGTTTTTTTTTTATAAAGTCTCACACTAATCCCACTGGTTAAGCAAATTAGATCCGCGTCAACGCTCTCCTCTTCTCAAAAGCAGCACCAAGTAGAGGAAGCACTGCGATATCCATTTCAATCTAACTTTATATTAACTTGCTTTGTATTGTGTTTTGCTATTCATGAATCAGCAGCAACCAGCTCTTCAGGAACTGCCGCATACTAGCGCCGTTGTTCTTTGCTCCGTTTCCCACAATAAGCATTCCTCCACAGCACCGGATTTAGAAAAAAGGAATTAGCATGTGTCGGTCGCCTAGCTTTGGCTCCTATTTCTATGAGCGGAGTGATAATGGGGGATTCTGTGTGGCTTATTTCCAAGCAGGGACACCTTTGGCCCCCAACAAAACACAGCGGTCTCCACAGTTACTTTGCAATTTCACGCAGAGCGCCGGATAGGCGTAATCGATTCTCTACCCCTCTCCGGCACTCACAGCCAGCTGCTGTCTCAGTCTTCACCACTGCATTTAGGCAGTCCAAATGAGGTAGAGTTCCTTTGTGGACGAAGAGGGGAGAGAGAGGAAAAAAAAAAGCTGTGAAGGAAGGCGGGAGGAAGGAGGGGTGGAAGGCAACGATGGAGAGGCTCGGTGCATTCAAACAGACTGCAGTTTTTTTTCCCCTCCTCTTTGAGAGTTTGAGGCGAAAGAAGAGTGATTTAAGGTGGGAGGGAGGAACGTTTCAGAGTGTGTGTGTGTGTGTGTGTGTGTGTGGGAATCGTACTGCTGACACCTCTGGCCTTGGCTTGGCCTCATTACAATGACAAAAGCAAGCAAGCCATCTAGCAATCTCGCTTCACTGATTGAGGGTGGACCGGAGCGGGGTGGGGTCTGCCCGCCACAATGGGAGCTGCTTCTGGAGGTAAACTCGCCGGCGGATTGATGCAACGACAGGCAGAACCGAGTTTACAACCACAGCGGACGGCCACTCGCAGACAAAACACATTAGTGCCTCGGAGGTTTTCTTGGTGGAGAAAGATCAAAGATTTTTTTTTTTTTTACACATTCAGCACACAGCCTCCTCCTGTTTATCCTCGAGGCCTGCGCTCTAAAATAACTCACAACTGACCCAATTCAGGAGCCCCACGAGGGGATTCTCCTGCAAATCCATAAACAATCTGGGCAGATGAATGTCTAGTTAATATAAAACTCAAGAAAACGATGCAGGACAATTTCACACAGCGAAATACGATGAAAAGAGGATGAAATGCAGCATACTAACAAGGCAGAAGATCAACATGTGTGGCCCAGAAAAGCTGGAAAAAATGTACGCAGCTTCGCTTTCTGATCACCACAAGGTAGCCAATTCTGCCGCATACATCTTCTATACATCCGGACTTTTTCAGCAGACTGAGATGAGCGGCTCTGGTGGATTCCATATCAATGCAGTCATGTGTTATTGTAGCCTTGGGTAAAAAGCACGGCCATTAATGGTCTGGTTATTTTATCTGCATGAAGCCATTCCCCGAGCGATAAATCACCCCACGGCCCATATGTGCAGGCCCCCGAGCCATTTTCTTGAATTCTCTGCAGGAAGGAAACATGGGTGATGACATTCCAATCTCCAGCGTCAGAGTCACACGAGATGGATGACATTTCTGCATTGTTTAAGGAATCCCGGGCAGATGTGCCGAGAAACGCCTTCGCCCATCGCTCAAACCTAAAGGCCAGAGACCCGCTATCGCGACCCGCATCCCGGAGAGGCAGTGACGTCGCTCTGGTGTTGTTCCCTATAAAGACAGAGGGCCCCATTCCCGGAATACTCGAGCAGCTGTATGTCGAGAGCATGTCACCGGGCAGATAACTACCAAGCCTCGGGGCTCCACCTATAATTAGCCCTTTCTAGTACCATCTCCAGTCTTCCACCATTGCCTGATATCCTTGACTGGGGCTAAGTGCTGTGTGGATGCCTCCTCCTTTTTTTTTCTGTGACCTGGATGTTCCACTGGCATGACGCCAATGTGTGTTTTACAAACCTCCCGCTCCACAAGCCAAAGCTTCACTTGTGGAGTGATGGATGGCTCCTGCTAATGCACCGCTGGATATAACATGAAATACTCAGAGGGTTAAAGCCCCCCACATGTGTGCAGTGCATTGGTGATATTTCATGGATCCATACAACCTAAATATGTGCTCAGGATCCTAAACCGAGCACTATTTTTACTTCAAATGTGCTGGAAACACTGGAGCCCCTTTCAGACATGCTCTCCTTTCCGTTAATCTGACTGCAAATGAATGTGTCACTTCATGTCTGAATAAATATCCTGACTTCTATTAAAGTTGCAATGGCAATTTTAGGAAGTCGGACCTGGTTTCAGTATCACTTTAACGTGCAGTCAAATGATCTGACAGATAATAGTACTTTTTTCCCCACATTTCGAACCAATATTGGTCCAAAAATGGTGCTCTACAGTTTCCCATCTGTTGAGTTACAAATTGAAATGTCCATTAAACTGAGACACACAGCTGAGATTCATTAACAAAAAGCTAATCCCGGTTTAGTTTAGTTGGCAAAATATTAACAGCGGCTGAAGTTTGTTGGTTCCAGCTGTTTGTAGGAGTCTTTTCTCTGAGTTTATTAAACATCTGCAGCATCAGACAGCAGTACGATCCACATGAGGGTCTCCAAAACAAGAGAGTTGCTTGTATTTACGCACATGGAACAACAAAACAGCTTTTTTCAGGAATTATTAATTATCTCTGCCATGGAGACAGCATCCATCAGGATCCTCAGGTTGAGTCCTGACCTCCATCACAGCTGTCGGATATTTTTATTTTACCGTTAGTCAAGTAGAAGTTGTCAGCAATAGAAAGAATTTGCAGTGTTTAGAAAATTATAAATGAACAAGACTACTAGCTACATGGACGGTTTGATAAGCTGCTATTAGAGAAGCCTAGATGTCATGTTTTGCTTGTTATTGCATTATTATAAATCCACTTTCCTGCAGACTGATGAAGCCAGCAGTGCTGCACATCCCATGTCTGAAAAGCGCTTGGACATAAACACCGATGCATTATTACAAATTACCAGCTTAAAAAAAAGTAAAGCAATACTTACAATTTTTCCAAAGCTGACAATCCGAAGAAGGATCCATTTCTGAGCTCTTGAATCTTATTGTTGTTCAAAATTCTGCGGAGAGAAAAAAAAAACACGCATAAACACCAAGAGACAGAAAAAAAACCCACTTAAACTTCACGGACGTCATTTCAAGATGAATAAACTTCACAAAAAAAGACCGCATCGTTTCTGTAATTACTGTTTTTACTGCACCAAAAACTGTGTGCAAAGGCAGATTTCCAGCATATTGTGTTACATTTCGTTGGCAGTTTAAGTGCTTCCATCAACTTGAGTCGAGATTTAACGTCGGCAACAAAAGGAGCGCGTGTTAATTCAACATAGAGGTGGAATAAAAAGGATCCTTTTCAACAGGGAGTGGGAACAATGCTGCGCCGCTACTTGTTGATAGATAACAATATTAAGTCTCAGTCTTTGTCCTCTCGACTCGCAGCTTCCAGTCGCAGAATGTCGAGAGATCTGACGGCAAACAACTTGAACTTCATCCTCGTTTTGCGCTTTCATGTTAAATTGGCAGCGACTCTGAGCGCTTTTGAGACAGGTAGCCAAAACGAGATTAAGAGCTGAGTTTTAACAGGTATCATAATCCCATCTGCAGTGACTCATTGGTGGCACGGTAGCCGCAAAACTGGCACGAAAATAGACGCTTATTCACGCCAGCGCGGAAAACCAAACCGAGTATTTAATTGGGGTTACATCTCTGTAAAGAGCTGCCAGGGTTTATCGGAGATAAAACCTCAAACTGTACATATCATCAAATAATTATATTAAGAAATAGGGATTAGGAAATAGCAGGAACAAAACACAATGATTAAAGCTTGCCTTATGTATTCTATACACAACACAACTGTTATATTAAATTTTATCACCACAAAAGTTTTTAAAAAAAAGAGCGTTAGAGAAAAACTTCCAGTCCAAGTGTGAATTCTTGATAGCTTCCTCCCTGTGGTAATAAACTGCATTTTATTATCCAGTTTATTTTCCCTGCAAAGCTGATTCACAGCCTACAAAGCTCCAAAAGTTAAGGCTCCACTTTCTGCCCCTGAGAGAGAGAGTCCTGGTCTTTCTTTACTCCCAAAGGATCTGGCAAACCAATAGCGCTGTTAACTCCCAGCAGAAACAACCCGAGCCGGGGCTTGTGGTTAGCATATGTTCCTGGCCAGCAGGGAGGGGATGTGGTGGGTGACATACATGCGAGTGGCACCCACAGCCCTGGCCCAGATTGGAGTCATTACGGGGTGTTGAGGGGTTGTTTTATTACAGGGTTGGACAGAGGAGGCTCACTGGAGATTTGCTGTTTTGGCTCCCCGCTGTTTCGGAGAGAGGACGGACACACAAGCAGTTCCTGTGTTTTTTTTCCAGGGTTCTGAATGCTGAACTGGCAGATGTTAAAGCTGTCTATCACCGCACATGATATACGCAGATACTCTGGCCTGACTCTGGTCACAACAGGCTAATTCATATGGAAGAATACTTGGCATTCCAAACGGATGCAGAGGTATGAATTCAGGAATGTGGTTCCTAATCAACAGGCGGTATACTACCACAGCAATAAATACCTGCCTGCAGAAACTGAACTAGCATCTTCGGTTTATGACAAAGACGGCTACATCCATTACAGAAGCACCAACAGGACAGACGAGCTGTTAAATTATGTAACAAGGTGACTGTAAAGTTTAACAGCTCATAATGACATTTGCCAAACAGGAACAGTCTACCAGACAATGGGAGCAAAAATAGATTGACCTAAAGGTCCAATCCACACATACAGAGGTATTTTTTAAAACCGTTGTTTGCCCTGAAGCCAATACATATATCCCAAACAATGTGAAAATGCAAAAACACGACTGAAATGGTGTCAAAAACATGCCAAACGAGAGAGCCAGAGCGTTCTCTAGCACTGACAGAGCTCAGTGTAGAATGATCTGGCTGCACCTTATCAATACTCTGAGGTGTTTGTATTTCTTTAAATCAATCGTAATTGGCTAGGGTGGAGCAAAAAAGCAGCGACATGAAAATAGTGATGGAGGAATTGTTTTGGTAGCACGTATGCACTCAGGGTGGCACGAATGGACATTACAATGGACAATTCACTGAAAAAAAACCTAGGTTTGCTTTATTGCATGATAGAAACCTTTAACAAAACTTTACAAAGCTTAAACGTGTTGGTTGCTGCTTGGAGGTGGAGGCTGTTGTTTCCCTTAGACATACACGGGAAAAGGGAAGGAAAAAGCTGCATGAAACGTGCGGCCAATGGTAGGCTTATACCCATAATCTACACCCGGTAAGTCCGATTAGCCAGTCAGAGGCCTGATGAAAAGCTGTTACTGATGCCAGTTGGCTACCAACAATGCCGCATATCCAGGAAGGGGGGAAATAATATGTGTGGGCTTGTGATGCCCTTGTAACTGTACGTTTATGGGTGTAAAAAGTCCTGTGAGTAAGGTTAACACAGGAACTATTTTGGCCACATCCACCTTTCAGCAGGTCAAAACTGCAAAAATAACCTCATCTGGGACCAAAAAATGTGTTTGTATGTCGACGAAAGACTCAAATGTCAAGTCAAAGCTGCCAAAATATCTTCACCTGTGATGTAGGTCTGCTTTGAGTCACCAAAAACTGTGTTATTAGTGGATGAAGGACGAAAATGCACAGAAAAAGCAATGTTTTAAGATTATCCATGTACTTGTAGACAAGGCCGAAGTTGCTTTAAGGTTCATACAGCTTTAATCGTCCCTTCAGCTTCAAAGTAAGTTGTAGAATTAGGTTTAGAGAGCGTAAAATGCATTTAAAACAACCCATCTTAGGAATCATTCGAGTCTGGTCTGTATAAATACATATTTCAAGCCTTGTGACTCTATGGCTCATCAAAATTAATCTGTAAAATGTGTAAAAAAAAGTCCTGTTAGCAAGTTTAACTCATCCACCACTTCACCTTTCTACACGTCAAAGCTGCCAAAATATCTTCACCTGTGATGTAGGTCTGCTTTGAGTCACCAAAAACTGTTTTTGTATGAAGACAAAGGACTAAAAAAGAAACGTTTTAAGAATATCCATGTACTTGTGGACAAGGCTGAAGTTGTTTAAAGGCTCATACAGCTTTAATGGCCCCTTCATTTTCACAGTAAGTTGTAGAATTAGGTTTAGAGAGCGTAAAATGCATTTAAAACAACCTATCTTAGGAATCATTACAGTCTGGTCTGTATAAATACATATTTCAAGCCTTGTGACTCTACGGCTCATCAAAATTAATCTGTAAAATGTGTAAAAAAGTGCTGTTAGCAAGTTTAACACATCCACCACTTCACCTTTCTACACGTCAAAGCTGCCAAAATATCTTCACCCATGATGTAGGTCTGCTTTGAGTCACCAAAAATTGTGTTTGTATGAAGACAAAGGACTAAAACACACAGAAAAAGACATGTTTTAAGAATATCCATGTACTTGTGGACAAGGCTGAAGTTGTTTTAAGGTTCATACAGCTTTAATAGCCCCTTCATTTTCACAGTAAGTTGTAGAATTAGGTTTAGAGAGCGTAAAATGCATTTAAAACAACACATCCTGGGAACCATTCGACTCTGGGCTGCGTGAATACATATTTCAAGCCTTGTGACTCTACGGCTCGTCAAAATAAATCTGCAAAAGAGAGTTCTCCTGAGAGTCATGAGCCCTTTCCTCGGCTTCTTTCCACCCCTCCCTCCTTCCTTCGCATGCTTGCCCTCCTTCTCCAGCCCTGTCCCTCCCTCTTCCTCATGACACCAGTGTGACCTCGGCATGTTACAAACTGCTCCGGCTGCACACTTGGGCCTTTCTACACACTCTTGCACTGGTGTGAAAGTCCTGCTGACTTCGCAAGACGTACACAACAAAGCCTCGAATCTGCGTAGAGATCACGGCCGCTCGGCTACCAGCACCGCCTCCAGGACGTCTGTAGCGAGAGACCGTCTGCTTCCCCGTCGTCTGTCTCTGGACGTCAGCCTGAGGTCTCCAGACGAAAAGGCCCGTCGATGGAATTTCTTGGGGCCAGGCCTCAAACGCTACAGGAGGGGAGCCTCCCTTATCTTGATGCATAGATAAGACGCTTGGGTTCAAGCCAGGAACAAGCTGCAGGGGGATCCTACCCAATCTCACATCCTGTCTACTGATACACATGCAATAAATCTCAATGACATTCACGGAAAAGCTTTCTCTACGACTGGAATTTCCACTCTTAGTCAACATAATATTAAACGCACTGGCCTAGATTTGATCTTGTTTTCAAGGTGAGTAAATATGACACCACCGAAAGCAGTCCCGAGTTCTTTTTTCACTTCAGTAAAATACACCTTGAGAAGCCTACGCCTCTGGCTGTAAGCACATTATCCGGAGAGAGGCACAAAATGGCCAGCCGCTGCTCACTCCCCTCACGAAGCCTCTCTCAACACTTTCTTTATGCACAGGAGGGTTTTGGACAAAGAACTCCCAAGTGTGGAGATCTGTAGCTCTTCAGCAGGTTTTCAAATAAGTTCTCGGCTGCAGTTGAGCTCATAAAAAAACCCTCCTACGGTGACTTCCTCTGAACACAGTGGATGGAAAAGCAGGCCTCAGCTCAGGTGGAAACAGAAACCGGTCCAAGGCCGAGGTGCTGCGACGGTGCCAAGGTAATTTCTGCAGTTATCCGACACTTTCCACAAATGATCCAAGTGTGATGATTTTTTCTTCTCTGCTGCTTGGAGAACGAGCACCACAACAGTAGAGGAATGTTGGATTTTAGTTTTACCGGTTACTGAGGTAATATCAAGTCCTTCCCTTGAGCTGGAGCAAACTCAAAAGCTCACTTGTCATGCACCCTTCATTCTTGTAAGTCACCGGCTTTACAAAAACCTTCTTTCAACACCCAACGGGCCGAACCGTTTGACAAAGACGTTCACCTTATAGCTCCGCGGCTGAATGTGAAAATGATCCACCGTGCAAACAGCAGGATCAGAGAGGATGAGCGGTAAAATGAGCGTAGACGTGACGGCACCGCGCGTAGCTTACGTCTACGAGCTAAACTGGATTCCTCGTCTGGGATTAAACCGATTCTTGGGAGAAAGCGGCAAAGTCAAACTAGATGTGCAGCTGTCGGGAGCTTCACCTTCGGGATTTTCTCTGCAAACACTGGCGAGAAAAACAGAAGAGCATTCCTTCAGACTAGCGGCTTGCCTCGGAAAGCACCAAAAACAAATCCTCTTAGGACATGCATGACAGCAGGCACCTGTGTTCTCATTACACCGGAGCTTCAAAAGGCTCCCGGCATGACGGAGAAAACTAAACGAGATGATTGACGCGAGGCCTGATCACGCTCTCGCCCGATGCACCTGAATTTACAATCATCTTAAGATTCTTAAACTCCGCCTAGAAGGAAACCAGACGAGTGTAACCCAAACTCCCACTTCGCGCCGCCGCGAAACAAGACGGTTTACTGCCCTCCGATGTGCCGTCAAACTGCTTTTCCTGCAAAGCGAGAGAGGAAATCCCTGCTTTCTTCCTGACATTAATCCTCCGCTTGCTCTGCAGAGGCCAAAACCAGGTGCGCTGATATGCAACCGTCCAGGTGCTGTGTGGACGGATGCACCAAAACAGTCCTCGTGAGGAAACACGAGCCGCAGAAAGCTTAAATATAGTCAGCTCCTGTGTGAAACAGGTACACAGGAATAAACTCTCAAAACTTTCTATCCGTGCGTGAGAGGCAAAGGTTAAATCCAAGCCGTCGTATTTTAGCCGAGGGCCCACACTGACACGGGAGGACGGGCCAGCTGTAAACACATTTGTGTCATTTCCTCTCGGATTACTTCGGCATGTGGTATCATTGGGAGAGCACAAATGCGGGGAATGCATTACTCATTTTTTTCTTCTCTCTACAGAGAGGCATTCAGAGCAGAACTGCACTAAACATGCACTCGGTGTCAAGGGGGGCGAAAACTAATAGCACCAATCATTTAAGCCGCCTATAAAATGATCGCGTGAGCTTTGTACAAACAGGCACGCTTAAAAGTTTGCGATACGAGGGGGTAATTTTTCTGGCATGAAAGTCAGGCTAATTATCCCAGCGGTTGAACAAGTTCGCAAAATAGTAGTGGAGGAAATTCCCAGACAATCGTGCTTGTGGTTGTAAATCTTTCTCTCTTTTTTTTTTAAATGTGAAAAGCCTGGATTAAAAGTTTCATCTGTCTGTGAAACCTACGAAGAGGAAAACAGGAAATCGTACGTACAAAGGAGCGGGTACGATGAATGGAACGGGTTTTTGTAATCGCACCTCGCTTGAACTTTGGAGGAAACTGTGCCGCGTCCTTAACAAAGTAGAATCATGAGTTAAGGGTCATTTTTTAAAAGGAAATAGGAAGTAAAAAATTAAGCAGAGTGACGAATTTGGTTGCTTCTGCTAATGATAGCTCAAAGAATTGTATTTTTGTCTTTTTAAATAGTCCAACTTGTTGCAAACTTTAATATTCAATAAAAGCTCGTGCCACTTAAGTCAAAGTAGAATCTGGTGAATTCATCGTCCACGACCAGCTGCTTAAGCTTAACAAGAAGAAATGAGCTCTAATCAGTTTCAAGCTTGGTGGGAAAAGTGTCACCAGCTGTGTCCAGGCCACGGTCAAACCCACCACGAGACGGTGGGAGCGCCGTAAAACCGGACCCCCTCCTCCTCCCCAAGAGGGACTGCTGATTTTACAGGCCGTAAATTAACACCCAAAAAACTGCGCCGTCGACGTTAATTGCGGTTTCATTGCCGCTCAGGGAACTCTGAGGCGAGGACAGTTCCTACCAGTAAGGAACCGTCCTGTTGTTTCCCTGCTATAGACGATAACAATTGTCCAGAAAGACAAAACGTAGGAGGAATTCTTGAGCTTTCTGTCCGTGCTCTCTAATTACATCGTTCTTGTTCAATGGATGCTAAATCACAAGGAACCTGGCTCGACCTCCGATCCATCACTGTCAGCCAGATGACAGACTACGAGCCCAATGAAGACGAGCAGCGAGAGCTTAACGTCTTTAGAGCTGAAAGAGATCAGAACGGGACAAATTCTATAAGAGCTTCACAAAAATGAAGGTACTTCGAATGAGGAAAATCAAGAGACGTACGTGTGTTTTCCGAGTTACTACAAATCTACCTGTCATTCCTGAAAGTATACGCTTGTGTTTTGTCCTGCAAAGACGTGTCCTACAACCTAGGCAGCAAATAACCACCATTTAATTATTAAAAATCTACTTTTTTTTGCCCATACAGTGAATTTATTTGTTGTTTTGGAGTTCTTGAGCACAAGCAGCCCCTTATAATGAACTTTCATGGCTGCTTCATACTGTGCTTTAAGTAAAAATGAACTAACAGACTGTATGGGAGTTACTGAGGAATAAGTTCTTGTTTAAAGCGACATTTGGCCTCAGAAAGGAGGATACAGCCGCTTTTACTGACACTCAGTTGAGCTGCTGCCAGGTGTTGAGCTCCACCCAGGTTACACGATGATTGTGAAAGTAAACCCAAACTTTCTAAACACATCCTCGTGATGCAACTGTGCTTCAAAACAAATGTAGATCAGCATCGTCCTGAAATGACGACAAGGCAGATGCAAAAGTCCACAACCCCTTTGGACAAACTAATACACGTATGATTTGTGGTGAACCATTTGAAAACATGCCCTGCGATGGTCTCACAACTCCTCACCTCCCAGCCAATCCTCTCCCTTTCTTTCCCCTCCCTGGAGTCTATTATTTGCTTTCTGCTCGTGCACCCTGCCCTGGTATTCTCGTATTTCCCCCCGTAATCTCTCACCACAAAGTACGAGCGGCTCTGGATGCACGGCTTTGAATTACTGAATGCGATCTTTGATTCGGGGTGCGATTTAAAAGTATTTTAACGTGGTGGCGACAAAAAGGCCTCAATATCCAACCACTTGTGTTTCATCCCTACAGGTTGCCACACAGACTTTGTTGTGATGCCTTGGAGGACATGCAACTTTGGGGACCACTAACAAACCAGGAAATGACAGAAAACACAACATAACAGAGGGTAAAACTGATTCTGTAACTCCATCAGTGTACATTACAGCTAGGTGAAGAAGAAAAATTCTTAGCAGATGAGCTCCTATAATAAGAATAATGATGCCTTGGAGATATGGTGTCATGTGTGAGCTGAAACATCTTCCTGTGCATGAATCACAGGAGGACAGGCGGTTAAATAAGGTTGAGAAAATGGTGATTTATGGGTGACATCAATACAGCTTCATTATGCCCCTCTGAGCTTTTTTTTAAAAAAAGTATTCTGCAAGTTTTTATGAAACATCCACAACAAAACACTAATTAGGATGAATTAGGCTGGTTGTAAACATCAAAAAACAACATTTAAATTTGCTTTTCAAGTTGTTTTTCTATTACTTTGCACTCTGACTGAGCTGGATTAAGTGGAGGCTGATGTCATGCGCATCATCAACGCCGTTTGGAGGCTGTTTGGGGTGAACGCTGCGTACTCACAGTGTGACCGTCCCGTTGGGCACCGACTCCGGGAGCGGCACCTGATGGAGCTCCGTGTTGCTGAGCACCACCCTCCGGTCGGACGCCGGGCTTTTCCCACCGCTTTTCGAGCGTTCGTCATATGGTTTGCGGGCAGATGATCCGCCGCCGCCGCCGAGGCTCAGCAGCAAAATCACAAACAGCAGATCCACCCTCATTTTTTTTCTCTCTCTCGCTCTCTCACACACGGTAACAACCACACTGCAGCATTTGGCGACAGGAGTCTCGGTAATAAACAGGGCGCAGGGTGGCTTTGTTACAAGACCTGGAAGCCCGACAGAAGGGAGACCTTTGCCAGAATGTTGTTTGGCTCCAGTGATCCTTCCTCCTCCATTTCTCGCAAGGCTTTCCCTTCGCTTCAGTCCCACGGAGGTGTCCTTCTTTGTTTGGCGCACGACTCATTTAGATTTCCATCCTGTGCGTTTCCCCCCCTCACAACTCTGGAAACAAAAAAGATCCACCAAATGTGAAAGCGCAGAGGATTTTCTCTGGTTACTAAATAACTTGTCCGGTAGTTGCTGAGCGCTTCTCTTTGTTGCCCATAGCGTGGATCCGACTGGTGTCTTTTCCACGGGAGGCGGCTGCAGTCATCCCGGGCTGTGCGCTCTAACTTCAGGAAACGCACTTGGGGGGGATTTTTATTACATTCCCAGATACTTTGAACCTTTTACCGAACCGAATAGCCAACACTAAACTTCCCAGTGGCCAAAAAAAAGTGCAAAAACAACAACTTTTTCTCAACTTGGAGTCCTCCAAAAGCTCGAAAAACAAAACGAAACGCGTAAAATCACACGAAGGACCGTATCCACAGTGGTCAGTGCGTCTTCTTTGTTATCCTGTGTGTCGGGAAAGTATTCAAAACTAGTCTTCTACCCATTGAGAAGTCCTCTTCCCATGGTCCTGCCCTGGACTCACGACTGTCAAGTCACCTGAAGCAAAACCATATCCGGTGCGCGTTTCAGAATAAAACCACCAGGAAAGGAATTCAGGAAGTACGCTGCTGCACAGTCTCAGATTGGGCTGGAAACTAAACATTTGTACTAAAACGTTTTTTTAAAATCTTTTTTGTATTTTCCACTTGAAGAAAAAAACATAAATCATCTCACTTGGGAAACAATTTTAAGGGTTCAATATCTCCACAACTACAACTCCCACAGCCACAAAATTTCATGATAATACAGACAAGCAGATCCAGATGAGTGAATGGCTCCAACAGAAGCTAAATTCTAATTTATTTGCCCTTAAAGATGCAACATTTTCAAACAAGTGTAGTATACGTGAATATATACATATATAATTGCTATAAATACATATTTGCTACCAAAATGCTGTCTTAAATGACATTTTGCCAATTATTGAGGCCTCTCGCCTCACTAGAAGTAGATGTTTGGCAAGCTGAGGTTAAATTTTTCTGCTGTTTTGACATGTCAAAATGGTAATATAGATGAATTCCTATAACTTCAAAAACTGTTCTGCAGTCAGGTCGATATATTGTCATTATATGTGCAAAGTTGCAAGCTGCTTCCAACATTGACCAACATATGAGGCTTGTTTTGCCAAATGTTCCCATACATGTACATGAAATTAATATCGACTTCGTGTTGACACACAATTGTTCTACCTGCATATACAAGCAGTTAATTGTAACAACAGTGGTATTTAATCAAAAATAATTCATTATTATTTAACTGTATTAATGTTTAGCATCCATTCAGCATCCAACAGAGCTCCACAAGTTCATATTAAACCTCCAAAGAAAAATGCCACACAAAGCTGAACCAGGCTGTAACCAATTAATTATTAACATTCAAAAAAAGAACACTTACATTTTGGTCCCATCTCAAATCAAGGTCCAAAGACACACTGAGATTCCAGGCAAGACAAAGCTCAGTCTTTAAAAACGTTCCGTCAGCTGAGACTCACTGATTAGATCAAACCCAACACTGATCAACATCAGAGCAGCGCTGCTCTCCAACCACTAATCAAAGTCAAACTCAATATTACATTAACAAAAAAATGCTTATCTGGAACACTGGGGAAATCAAACCGAAACCAGCTTCACTGCAATCTGGCTCGAAACCATTAATATAAATTGGCAGAATATATAAGATGGAAATTAGAGGCAGACCCTGACCAATTACAGACCCAGTGACCACACTCCAGCCATGGAGAAAGGACGACACGACAAGTCATGGCTACCAAAAGATGAGAGAGTCTGTTGTCCCGACAGGCGAGCCAGAGACGGAGATGCTCTTAAAATTTCACAAATACAAAAATTTAAGACAGGAATACTTTAAAGTTTGAATTGTTGATCCCAAACTTTACTGAACAGGACGACAGCAAGAGCAACAAGAGGATGAAACATACAGAGCAGAACAACATGTGACTGCGTGTCACAAGCTAAAGGTCACATCATTAAAACATCACTTTGTATGCCAATTATCTTGACAGAGCCTATTACAGTCCTACATATGGCACACACAATGCATTACTGTTATTATTTTCCTTTTTGACATTTTTGTTCTTCTTAATCATCTTATTCAATTTCTTTGTTAATTTTTATCACTGGAATTAAACACTCTTTGATGCTTTGACAATATTGTCAACCTGACAGTCATGCTAATAAAGCATACTGAATTGAATTCATTTTGAGAATAAGATGCACAACTAGAGATGAGCACATAAACAATGGTGCACTGTTGCAGATAAAGCGACCACACAGTATAGCTATTAGAGTGAGATACTGCTTATACAGAATGTTTTGCTCAATAGAAACACTCACCAGGACATTTTCTCCCACAACAGCAGCCTGCTTACAGGATTTAACTTAATGTTATTAAGTTTTTGTGCTTTCTGTTGCTACTTTTAGGAAAATAAAGGTTCTGAAAACTTCTTCCATCCCTGGTCTGGTCTTCTGTTTGGGCGCCTCAGCAAGTTCAGTCCAGTAAAAATTACACAAGAGCAAAAATTCTTGAAATTTGTCGCTATGGGAAGAGGAGAGAGAGAGGTTTGGCTGATAAGGATGTGTTTGCCTTTTGGCACACAATCCATTTCCTTTGTTATTATCAGGTCGAGTGAGTCATTCCATCCTATGGAAAACTAAACCAAAGGATAACACTGAAGGGAGCACAGGCCAGGCAACATTTGCCTTCAGGCTAATCTTCCACATCCAGTTTGTTTTCAGAGCCTGTGAGGCTTCACTGACGTACAAACAAGATGTCACATTGTTGTTGCAAAACCAACAAACAAGCGCATGAAGGACAGCACATAATAGATCAATCAATTACTTCCATCTGACTTACAGCCTGCGCAGCATCACAAACAATCAAAAGTGCTTGTAAAAAGCAATCTTGGATTAAAATAAATAATAAATAAATAAATAAGTAAATAAAAAAATAAAAACCCTCCTGCCTTATGAAGTTCATTCACAGTTTCTTTACACACACACACACACACACACACACACACACACAAAATTAAGTTAACACGGGCCCTTAAGAAACAGTAATACTTGGTTGTACATGCTAACACGCTAATTTTACATGATTTGTTATGCTAGCAAGACACAATGGTATATCCAGTTTCCCTGTAAATTAACTTTAAACTTAATATTTTTAACCTTAATATTTTGTGGTGATTTATGATTTTAAAAATACAAATATTTACTTTATATAATATAATTTCCACAAAAAAATATCACCACAAACTTCAAAAGTTGAACTGCAAATTCAACTTCCTCAAAGTGGACGTTACGTCATCACGCAGGGCTACGGCTCTTGTGCTGCCTTCAGGTACCACTCTGTAATTTGTATTTCTGTAAATTTGTTGTGAACACAACATTCAAGGGAACGCGGAGAGGCCGAAACTCTAGCTAATGTAGTTTTGTATGATTATCATTATTAATATTCAAAGATTCAACTAGTGGTGAAGTCGTATGAAGAAAGAGAAAGAATATTAAGTAATCATATTTGTCGTCGCAAGTGTGGCGTTCTCTCCGTAACAGTGGCCATGGTTCGTAAACGTCTCATCATGAAGTTGTTCCTGGTTGTCGGGTTTGCATGGCTGCGTGTTACACTACGAACAAATACATTCACTTTAAACATGCCATTCAATGAGATAAAAACAAAATGAAAGCTTAACGTAGTGAAATATTAAAACATATTTGCTTCAGTGTCCTAGCGCACAAAAAAACATGTTCCCACGGGATTTTGCGTGGGGAGCGGGAACTGCTGCTTATCAAATAGAAGGTATGTAAACACAACCACGAGACTTCTGAGCTGAGTCACTGCTGCAGTACTTGTTTAAAGTGTGTGTTGTTTTTACACAACTTGAGGATCACATGTAGAGGCTCTGATGTAGTCAAAGCTCCTATAATAAATACCACAGTCAGTAAACATTGGATTTATTGAAACTACAACGTGTTTCAAGTCAATTCTCTAACTCAGAAACAGCCAGGTTTTGTAATAACACTGTATTAACCATTGCAAAGGTACATTTAATATAATTCAACACCACAAATATAAAACTAATGGGAAAAAAATCCCAGTTGAATTCACGAAACTGACACAGTTTGTATTTAATGCACATTTCTTGTATTAGACTGCACAGATATCCATTATACTGTGTCCACTCCCAGCTAATAGCACATCATCAGAATTAGTTTCAGTACCAAGTACTGAAAAAAAGCACAACATACTGGTTATTTGACATCATGATTTGGTGCTTTACAGTAAATGCTCACAAAATGAGAAGTCACATAAGCAGCAAGTGAAGCAAATCCAAGCAATTTGAGTCATAAAAAGTTCTGTAATTGTTTACAGTGTGGAGAAATGTGCAAATCATTTGCTCGAGAATGTGCAAACTCACATAGATTATGGTGTTAACCACTTGAGATGTGCAGAAGACGATAATAATCCTGTTTAAAAAGCTTCACAAAAGCTCCTTCATGCAACACATATCTGTGCATTCTTGTTAAAGGAGGGAAATAAGTGTTTGTGGTTCCAGCACACAACTTTTCTGCAACAGAACGGACGACATGAAACAACCAAACTATGCTGGAAAAGCCAGATGGGTGTTGATGCTGCTTGTGGAATATGTTGTTCAGCTCTTCCTGAAGGGTTTGGTGAAGTTGGCAGACTCTCTGCGTTACAAAATCACGTTGTTGGACACTTCTTTCTCACTATGCAGCTTGAAACAATTTCTTAGACAAACAAATGGTGGAGCTGTGGACTTTCTAACTGAAGTGCCAGCATCCAACATGGCATCTTTCTCTTGTCACGTGTGGCACAATTGGCTAAATTTAACCCGTTTCTATCCATAACAATAGAACTGAGTCAGTGAAGAAAACCATTTTTATATTTTTTTTGCTCAGTGTAGCTGTGCATGTGATGTGATAAAGTGTACAATGGTTGACCGAAACAATAATTAGCATTAATGTGGCTGATGTTTTTTCTAACCAGCTCGCAGATCTCATTAATTGAACTGCCTACATACAATTATGTTCCTAAATGAAAACAAATGAGAGGAAAATGAAAACAATAAATCCTGGTGGAAACCAGCCAGAGACCCAGCCTGAGCAGATTCACTGAAATGCACAGACAGTCCCAGCAGAAACATTACAGTGATTTTTCTTACCTACCTACTTTTATGAAACGCAACAACCTTTGTGTGCTCGTTGAGGTGGCTGGCAGGCAGACGGCAAGGGACCGAGTATCTGGGACGCATTTTGTCACGAGAACGGCGGGGTGTTTGGGGAGCAGAATGGAGATGTGGCCTGTAACAGCTATGAGCTGTGGGAGAAGGACCTGGAGTGCATCCAGCAGCTTGGACTGACGCACTATCGCCTGTCGCTCTCCTGGGCCCGCCTCCTGCCTGATGGGACCACGCGGCATGTCAATCAGAAAGGTATTTCCATATTCTCCTAAGCCCCACTCCAGAATTAAATTCGAGCATATCTGATGTGCTGTTTTACCTTATTACCCAGCGCTATTTGTCCCGCAGGTGTACAGTACTACAACAAAGTGATAGATGGCTTGCTCGCCTGCGACGTATCCCCCATGGTCACCCTTTACCACTTTGACCTGCCTCAAGCTCTCCAAGATCAGGGCGGCTGGAGGTCGCCCGGTGTAGCAGCCCTCTTTGACAGCTACGCCAGGTTTTGTTTCCAGACTTTCGGAGACCGAGTCAAACTTTGGATCACCATCAACGAGCCGTATGTATGCGCCAAACTGGGTCACGAAGACGGCCTCCACGCCCCGGGGTTAAAAGAAAAGGGCACCGCCGCCTACCTAGTAGGGCATAACATGCTTCGTGCCCACGCCATGGCCTGGCACAGCTACAACTCTGTGTACAGGCCCAAGCAGAAGGGCGCGGTGTCTTTAGCCATCAACAGCGACTGGTTCGAGCCGTTAGACCAACTCTGCGATGAGGATATCGCTGCTGCTGAGCGTGACCTTGCATTTACTCTGGGGTGGTTCGCCTGGCCTGTGTTCGTTACCGGAGACTATCCAGAAATAATGAGAACTGCCGTTGACGCTCAAAGCGAGAAGCTGAAATATAAGGGTGCCTCGAGGCTGCCCAGCTTCTCGAGCGATGACCCTACCATTCTAGGAACGGCTGATTTCTTCGCTTTGAACTACTACACGTCCCGTAAAGTCAAAGCAGGAGCAGGTTGTGGAGAGACGTTGTGTATGAAGAGCGATCGAGATGCAGAGGAGGTGTTGGATTCGTCTTGGCCGATTTGTGGAGTGTCCTGGTTGGCTGTAGTGCCCTGTGGCTTGAGGAAGCTGCTAAAGTACATAAAGGTAAAATTAAAAATAAAACATCATCTTTTGATTTGTTTTCTATCGTATGTTTAGGTAAAAGTTAACCAACTTATTCCACATCACTAAAAGTTCACCAAATCAAGGGTCAGACACATGCTTTCCTTAGATTCCATGAGCTGAATTGTAATTTTTGAGTTTTTTTTCCCGTCTAAAATCAAACTGAATTGACTATCAACAAGACAGATCGCCCTCAACCAAACGAGGAGAGCACTGTGACATTTGTTTAGTGTCTTGCTATTGATTTTGTATGCAGTAATCTCCTTTCGACACCTCCAGAAACACATTGATGCTTCATTAGTGCTGTCACATTGAATGAAACAGTTACTTTGCTGAAAAGTGTTTGCAAACGAGCAATTTCCTGCTGTTGTGACTTGTCACAGGCCATTAGTTTGAGCCTGGCACCGTTGAAATGCAGCTAAACGGCACACTGTAGACCAATCTGTCTCCCCTCCGACTGCCTGACAGTCCTGATACCTTGTTTGACAATAATATTTGCCCTCTGACTTTCCAGGACACTTTCAACAACCCAGAAGTCTACATCACGGAGAGCGGCTTCTCTCAGGTGGGGCAGCTGCAAATTGAAGACGTCCGACGGTGCGAGTTTTACAAGGACACCATCTTGGAGGTGGCGAAAGGTAACGACTGTTAAATCAGCGCTGGATAAAGACTTTAAATAAGACAAGAAAATACACGTTAGTCGACATGATGCTGAAAATACTATTTTAATTCTTAATTTTAGAAAAGATCCATTCAGTAACAGTGTATTGAAAGAAGGCAAGTGAACTAAACACACTATTACCTTTAGTGTCTTGCATTGCACTCTTTAAGCTTCATCTTTTAAAAAATCTCCATTTTGTTCTGCACATTTTTGAAAGCAACACCAGTAGCACGATATGGATGGATTATTTTTTATTATCCAGATGGCTTTGTTCAAGTTTTATTACACTTTTAGAATATTAAAAACAGAAAGCTATCAAGGTGGAAACAGAAATCAGCATTAACTTTCTTAAACTTAGACTAACTGCACCAAAAATGATCATTTTTTTCCTATTTTTAAGCTGTAAGTTGTGGAGTTATTTGTTTTGGTGCCACCATATGGCCAGTCTGTGTATTTTTTTCATTATCAGTGATGCAGCTAAATGGAATTAACCCATTATTATTAATTTTTCTATGCTTTCCTATTACATGTGAGAATGTTTGCAGAGACAAACACCTAATCGCTACCTACTCCTGGCCTTCCAGTCTCTGTAGAACGGCAATCTCTTCATTTAAGGTCGTTAAAGAATATAAAGATGAACAATTCCACAAAAAATAACATTTATCGTGCAAGAAACAATCTTAGAAAAGGCAGTTAATGCACAGGATGCTCACATTTGATAAGCATAAAACTAGGCCTCATTAAATACTTGTTACAAAGAATTCCTGCTCTGAGCGCGTTTAACACTTTATTATGATGTTAATCTTGTCATGTGTCGTGTTGGCAGTCATGGTTTAATTAGATGGCCGTAGCTAACAAAGCAGGGATGGCTGTTGTTTTAAAAATAGGCCTCTCTTGTTGCATGCACACGATTACAACTGCTGTTTTAACTCCGTGTTCAGCTCGGCGAGAAGACGGGGTCAACGTCCGCGGATACTTCGCGTGGTCGCTGATGGACAACTTCGAATGGGCCGACGGATTCAGCGTTCGGTTCGGATTGTTCCACGTGGACTTCTCTGACGCAAAGCTGAGTCGAACCATGTACCGGTCTGGACGGGAATACGCAAAGATCATCGCGAAATACAAACGTGGGCAGTAGTCAGCTCAGGTGTCACTATGTAGATTCCTTACTGGTGTACAATTACTCATGAAAAAGAGAGAAGAAACTATGTTAATAAACCAGCAGTTAAAACATTCTTTTTGCTTTGTTGTCCTCGCAAATTACACATCTCATGAACCCATTTAACTGAACACTGCAATTCAAAGCACCACTTTTGTTTTTGAGATCACCGCCAGAGAATAGTGCAACAAGTAGCTCCTCTGAAAAATCTGACTTCAGCCGGCGATGGGCAAAGAGGGTTAAGCCGATTCACTGGAATTCAAATTAGTATTCTGTCCTGTTCCAACTCTCAGTCAGGGTGCACAAGGACGTTCGTGGAGAGCCAAGGCAGCTGTAAGCGTCCCAGACCAAGCTGCTGCAGCCGCTTCGAACACCAGCAATCAGATGACCATGAATAACAGCGTTGCATACACGCTTTATGTGCAGATATGAAAGCTGACCTGTTGTGGCAGTTTCTCTGCATCTCTGGGATCTTATCTTGCTTTTAAATCTGCCACCGGGAATATGCAGCTAGGATGAGGAATCTGAAAATACAGTATAATACCTTACATTGTACGAAGTTAACGAGAAGGTTGTAGTCTGTAGCGACGCAGGTATTGATGAAGGAGGGGAAGCTAATGCCAGAACATGATCAGCTGTGATTACACTTTGGAACATGAGGTTGTTGCCTGTTCACAGGGAGAAAAAAAATCACAGTGCATGTTAATTTAAGTGTTAGAGTCTCAGTAAGATTCTGTGAATATCTCTTTGTGCTTTACTTGCTGTCTAGTCTGTGTGCGCTGAAAAATAATCTGTTACCACACACTTATGGTTTTGCAAATGGAAAGAAGTGACTTGGACCGATCCACGCAGGTCATATGGGGAAAAGAGGTCAATAGGTCGATACATCTGGCACACGCTAACAATCTAAATATGCTAACTGACTAGATATCAATGTTTTTCCAGAATCACAGACTCACGTTTCATCCTCCAGGAGAAGCTTGACATACGATAATATTCTAGAAACCAAAGCGTGTCCTAAAAATGTAAGGGCCTCCTCATTGGTGCCGAGACATGAACCCCTTTCAGACATGCGTTCCTCTTTATTAATCTGACTTCATGTCTGAATTAGCATCCTGCCAGCTTTTCTGTAAAACATGCAACAGAAATCTGAGCAGGTTTGTCTGCATCACTTGCACACCCTGACTTCAACATACTTCAGTCGAGTTTAAAGCACATTTTGATTTAGTGTTTGGTTTATTGGTGCATTGTTCTGCATTATGCATCACTTGATGTGCTGTCCAGTCTCGTATGCATATCAAATATTGCACGTGCTGTGACACTTTAACAGACAGCAATGTTACGTTTCTAAAAAGAACTTAAACATAAAAACATAAAGGCTTCCCAACTGACCAGTGCCTCAAAGCAGATCTTGTTTATTTGGAATAAAGCGTGTGATCAAGTGGTGGCATGACGTCTTTGATAAGGTTAAGTAAATACTGTTGATTGTCTGTTATATTGAAAAGAAGTCCCACTTAATCTAGCATACTTGGAAATCCTTTCTCAACCCCTATCAAAGGGAAAAGGATTCGCCACAAGATAAAACACAATCCTCAACTTAGTTATGATAATGCTGTCAGGAGAACGCCTCAGTAGGCTCAGAAGGGATGCCAGCTGAAAGCAACAGATGTCCTGCCACAGGAAGAGAGCATAATGCCATTTGTGTTCCCTGGACAGCTGTGCAAACTCCCTACTTTGAGGAAAAAAAGGAGCAACAAGGCAAAAAATAAAAACTCCCAAAGGCCCTCTGTTGATTCTTTGTGCATGCTGTGGTTAAGGCTGAGGATTATTTCAATGGAGTCCTGAACAATGCACTGTAGCGCTCAGGGGCTTAGAGCGCTGCGTTGAATGTTAGGATTTGGTATTAGTGTGTACAGGTGTGTCTGATAGAAAGGAGGATATTGTTTGTAATGTTTTAGGTTCAGGTAAAATGAAACGCCAGTTCTGCGTCAGTAAACAGGATGAGAAGCGGAAACCAGGACGAGCATCTGTTTGTGAGACTACAGTGCCACCTTGTGGCGCAGAAGGAAAGTACAGCCGTGAGTCCAGCAGCTGAGCGTGCTGCACCCCGCAATATGGTGCCACATGATGTGCCGCTTTGATTAATAAAATGCATCCTGTTGGTGTAGCTATAAACAAGGAAAGCAGCTTTCTAACCTCAATACATCATATATTTAACACAATTAATATTTATGCTCCGATGTGAAGGAAAATGTCATTTATATTCTGTGTTGGGAGACTTTGTTTGCATTAATAAGCATGGTGTATCGTGGCATCCAGTTGGATGTGCTTACTGTTTTCAACAGATGTGAATAATACCCTTGTGGCCCTCCTCCATCTATGTCAAGCCGAGTGAGAATCTCCTTTGTCTTATGATGAATAACAAGCTATTGTGGAAACATGAATAATGCCACTGCTGCTCGCATTACAACTTCTTTGCGGGCTGCTTTGAACACCAAGTTGAAGCGCGTCTCGAGCTATTTTAACACTAATGAAGTTCGTCTAATGTCTGCGGCTCTCCGTCAGAGGGGCTTGCTGGTGGTCTCTGCAGGATGATGGCGACGCAACGCAAAACACTGAACATTTAGCGAACAGACGCAGCTTTCAACTTGTCAGGTACAAACACACAAAACCGGAAAAAAAGCAACAATTGAAATTCCTCTTACCAGCGTCGGAGTCAAAATCATATCTGAAGCAGGTTTGAATCATATTTCCCGTGATTCATCAGAGCAGCTCATGGGCAACTGAATTCCCAGCTAAGAGTTGATTAGTAATTCCAGCAACTGTCTCCCAGTATTGATGGATTCCATCTTCCTCTATCACTGGGTAGAGGTAGCTGCATGGGTGAAAGAACCTCCACCGCTGCTGCATTGATTGAATGAAATATGAGCAAGAGGTTACTCTGCACTTAGTGAATGTTGAAATTAGCCATTTGTGGGGAACCGAGGAATAATATGTGCCTAGTGCTACTTGGAAAGCTTAAAACATTAATTAGCATTTAAATAATTCACACTTCCAGTCTCTTTAATAGCCCAACTACGAATATTCAACTTCAATTCATTACAGCTTGCAGAATTTATTCTGATTAGGCCGTGATGTACAAAGTCACCGAATAAACCGTTTCTAAATGTGCTTTCCAATTAAGCGCCAAATATATCATGTGTATAGATAAGTTGCTTTTGACAATGAATTAGCACGTTTAATTGTAACATTCAATCACGTTCGCTGGTGGAGATTTACCCCGAGGAACATTCTGGCAAATTACCAAGAGAGGCCCATTTGTATTTGACCAAACTTAACTCATTATGTTTTGACAGACACCATAAAATATTCAATAAATGGGAAATTCATTTACTTATTATAAATTAACTAAATAATTTAGCCTGCTAATAAACTATCTTCATTGTGAATTATGGGAAAAGCACAATCTTGTGTATCGGTGCAGTGCTTACAGGTGCAAAGGGTAGGACTTCTGGCAAATAATTACCTTTTTCTATTTACTGATTACCCTCATATGCATATTCCCTGGAGAAATGGTATAATTAGATTGTTGCTTCAATATCAAGATGAAGAGACGTGAGCCACTCCCTTTCTCTGGAGCTCAGATACAAATCTCTTCCCTCTTTTCTTTGTCTGGGTCTCTCAGTCAGCTGGTGAGGGACCCGTGAGAGCCCCAAACCACCACTCAGCCTGTCTTCATGTCTTTTTTTTTTTTTGCCTTTCTTTCTCTTTGCTCTTTTTCACTCTCCAGCTCATCATCTTCCCCTCTCCTAATCGCATTGCTCATTTTCCATTGACAAGTGAGTATGAGAAGAAGAAGAAGAAGAAGGAGAAGAAGGGGGGGAAAAAAGAAAAAGAAAGAGAAAAAAAAAAAACAGCACAAACTTTCTAAATCCCATTGACCTACTTCGCCAGACATTTCACTGGGAATTCATATTAGTGCAAAAGAGTTAGAAGAAGAAATGTTTTCTCATTTTTTCCCCCTCCGTCTTCCTCACAGCCCCCTCCTTTCTCTTTCTCTTTCAGCTGGAAGCCATTTTCGTCGCATCCCGTATTTGATCCTGTGTGAGCACTAACAGTACATTATACAAGTGGATAAACGCCTTACTGTGGCATAACCAGCGGTTTGGAGCTCTGTCACCACTTTTGACAGTGGCGTAAGAAGCGTGACATCGGAGTTATAAAAAGCGCTTTGCAAGACCTCGTCTGTGATTGATGAATTTGGCGGCGGAGACAAGATTGAGGGGGATGAATATTGCTAGGCCTCGGAGACAGGAAGTGGAATTATGACAGACCCATACAGAGAACTAAAGCGGGGAGACGGGGGGAGAATAAAAAAACAGAGAAAGGCAATTCAAATCTTTTCTTTTAAGCCCCTCCCTGAGGGACTGCGGATGACCCTGCTAACGACTGTCAAAACTCTAACTCCCTTGAGTGTGATGGCGCTGCGTGATGGGAGGGGGTTCGCGGACCTGCCTGAAAAATTGAAAGCTCCTAGAATATTCAGCTAACCCTGTGCGCTCAGTTGGGGGTGGTGATGGGAGGAGGACACATGCATAGATTGGTACTCCGGGTCTGGATGTGTGTGTGGTGGGTAAACCCGGTGGTGGCGGCGAGCGAAAAACCCCCCTCCGAGTGCGTGTGTGCGGTGGCCAATGAGCCGAGCACCGGGTCTCATGGGAACAGTGGTGGGAGTGAACATAAGTGGGAACGGCGAAGAGACAATTTATGGAACCTTTGGAACCGATGTGAATGCAACTGTGATGGCGGAGTAGTTATCAGGCCTGGATCCAAGCAGGGAGACTAATGACGTGGATATAACCTCGTGCTCCCTCTATGCAAACACAATGTCATCACCAAAGAAAGAGTCAAAAACCGTTCTGCTCTGAATCTCCTCAGAAGCACACCTGTGGGTCGCGTCTCTCTGCAAAGAATAAAAGTGGCAACTCGCGGCATAAGTCTTCATTCCACTTTTAGTTTGGCATTTTATGTCCTACTTCACCCAGACGGCGAAGCCCTTGATTTAGCAGTCA